AACTCTTTTATTGAATAGATTTTGGTTTGGTGGTTTTATTTATATGTGTATATGTGTGTGTGTATATATATATATATATGTAGACACACACATATATGTATCATTTGATGGTAACATCATTTGTTCTATGAACCTTCTTTTCAGAAAAGAAAAAAAGGTTTTCTAATTGAAAATATTTAATTGTGCTTTCTTTAAAGCTTTCTGGATTGTGCAACTGGTAACTTACAATAACATCTTCGAACATCTTAAAGTGCAAGTGTGTTGTTCTAGCTAAATGCAGTGATAGAGAAACATGCATTTCATTTGTCATTCTTTTTTGAATTGTATTATACATAGCATTGAGAATTGTGTGTGGTGAACTGCTACCTCTCATCTACATTTTCCTACTCAGAGAAGTACTTTTTCCTATCTAAAATATGTGTTTCTGTGAAATACATATTTAGGTTTACCTGTTTGTTTCATACTGATTTTATGTAATAGCTTATGGTATCTTTTTGTGCTATAAATTATAGGAAAGGTGTGGTTTGTTTTCTGTGTAGTTTGGCACAGATTGCATGATTGTGTGCTTGTAACCAACATAGGATCAATTTATAGATTTTTAAATCTGATGAGTGATGGAGGATTCTTTCATTATCCTGATTAACATGGCAGTAATTTGATTTAGATTTTCCTCTTTCAGATTTCTAAGTTACTGTTCTAAGTAAGTATAAAATGCAGTCATTACTAAATAAACAGGTTAAGAATTTTTCAGGAGTCCTGGTGAGCTTGGTGGCTAAAAAAAAATAATTGTGATTAGCTTTAAAATAAGGTCAGGTTTCTGTTGTAGGTGGCTTCCCAACTTGTATTAGGGCAGGACTTAATTTTGTCATACGTTGCAGATGCATGGGCTAAAAATTCTTAAATTAGGAAAAAGCCTCGGACACTCCTATTTATTTCTTCAAGCCATCTGCCCCCTCCCATCCCCTCTTTTCCCTTGATAAGCAAGAATCTGGTCATTATGGCTGGTTCACACTGGATGGTTTCTAGTGATGGAAAAGTTTCCTTTGGGCTGTGTTGTAGGTTTTTTAACTTTATTGCAGCTACTGTTTGGATTAAAAATCATTTTGGTGACTAACTGAAGGATTGGAAACTGCATTGTATGGAGTGTATGTTTGTTTAAAATTAAAGCATGTAACTATCTAGGATAATGATTGAGGGGGAATACCTGATTTCTATAATGCTGTTTGTTTTTTGCAGTTAAGTGCCTCAAGAACACGCCAGCTTTTTTTGCAGAGAGATTACAGAAAGCAATGAAGGTAGGTCCCTGTGACAGGATACATAAACATATAATGTGGTGAGGTTTTGGTTTGGTTTTTTTTTGAGATTTTATTTGTTCGTTTGTTTGGAAGTTTTAATGCTTGTACAGCTTATTGGAATTAATTGTTCAGCTGAAGCATTTCCACACATTATTAATACATTATATTGGTGTTTTGTTTGTTTCAGGGAGCAGGAACAAAAGACAGAACTCTGATTCGAATCATGGTATCACGCAGCGAGGTTGACCTGCTGGACATACGTGCAGAATACAAGCGGATGTATGGCAGATCCCTCTATGCAGACATCACTGTAAGTCTTGGAGATTTTATTTTCCCTCAAGTGACATCCTTTCTGCTAGTAGAACATGCATACTTATGCTGAATAGCTATTAACAGCACTGAGTGTAGCTGGCTATGTTTGCTGCATTTGTCAGGGGAATGGAAGCTGAAGTGTCAGAGAACAGCGCTTGCTTTTGTGTGGGGGCTAGATGAGCTAGAGATGGGAAGGAAGCCAACAGAGAAGGAAAGAAAGAAAAATTGGTCCAGAGGGGTTTCAGAGACTTGATTTTAAGCTTGGTTTCTGTCGCAATCTGTATATGATTTTGTAGAAACCACTAAGTCCTCCTGATAACAGTGGTGCTCTACCTCATGTATGTGTTGAAAGACTGTAAAGCTCCTAATACGCTTTTAAAAGATTGCCTCCTCTTTCTCTTGAAAGTGCAAGATCTTGGAAATAGCCTAAACTTCACATTCTTTAGCAATTAGTCAGTCAACCCTATTACTGCTATTGACAGCTGTAGCAGCAGTCAAGAGGATGCCTGGCCAATGGGGAGGGTAATAAAAGCTGCAGTGAGAGTAAGTAGTGCACCTTCATTGACCTTGTAATGAAGGTGACAAATCTGTTAAGTCTCTATTCCTTCTGCTGATGGCACTGGGGCTGCACCAAAAAGTCTTAGTGTGAGTTTTCTGCCAGCAACTATATGGTCTTTCTGCCAGTGTGCCACAGAGGGTGGTCTAGCAGAAGCTTTTTCCAAGTGTACTTCCTTTACTCCTTCACCATCCCGCCCCCTTTTTTTATTATCTTTTGCACTGGCATTAAAATAATTCTACCATTCAGGAACAGGCCATACCCATTTAATGGGCTGAACTTCCTCAGAACTTGGTTTCAGTAAATATGGGCATGCATGGGCAGTTATGTCGATGTATGTAAATTGTAGTTCTTTTTTTTTGTTTGATTTTTTTCCAACATCCTTGGAAAGAAAGTTCGTTCTTCTTCTCTCATGTGTGTCTGTAGGTGGACAACAGTTCTTTCCTTTCAGTGCATATATAAACAGGAATGTTTCACATTTTGCAGGTTGTGCTTTACACGTGCACAGGATTTATCCTGATCTTTGAAGTGTCTCATAGTTCCTGTTGTAATAATTTTGCTTTGGATAGTTTTCAGTTATACCTGAGAATGAAGGATGAGATAAATGCATGAGCAGAAACTGTTCTGTGAAAAGGATTGGCAAGCCTCATCAGCCAAAACTAGTAAATGAGTAGCTCCCAGGAACACTTCTTACTCACAAGAGCATCAGGCAAAAACTCAGGGACTTTTGCGATTAATTGCGTGTTTGTGTGTGCATCCATACTGATTTTCCTTGCCCACAGCATGAAAGAGTTGTTCTCTAATTGTGGGAAAACCCCCAACTCTTATATCTTTGCTATCAGGGCCTTGTTTTTAAAGTTTGAATATAGTACAGAGGAAACTTTCAGTTGCTGCCTCTGGAAAAATATCCACATTAATGGCAAGGAAGAGGACTTCTGTATTAACTTTTCTGTATTTTCATACCTTTTTTTTTTTCCTGGAACACAGCTTTTCAGTGAGTTTTTTTTTGTCTTGTTTTGTTTTTTTTTAAATTGTACTATTCCCAAGTAGTTGAACCTGTATACTGAATTCAGCTTGTTGAAGAAATGTACTTCTATGTGCACATTCAGTTCCAGTTGTGAAAGGAGCAGATTTTACTGTGTACTTGTATGGGAGTGGTTTTTGATTAATAGACTTTTTAATTACTTTTTTAAAGAGGATAATAATTGCTTTCTTTCAGCCCTGGCTTCATCTCTTTTGGTTGTTGATGTTATGTTTAGGATGCTAATGTTTCCTCTACTTCAAAACACAAGTCTTCAACTTTTCTTCTTCTGGGTTCCTTTTCAGGGTGATACTTCAGGAGACTACCGGAAAATCCTTCTCAAGTTGTGTGGTGGAAATGACTAAATGGAGCTTTGAGCTTTTCTTTAAAAAAGCTGCCATTTTCATGGCTGTACTTTAAAACATCTTTTTTTCTCTAGAAGTAAATATGCAATTACCTGTTTCTCCTACAGCAATTACATCTTTAAAGATAATATTGCCTATATTTGCAGTTCAAAAATAGTAGGTAATAAATGCCAAGAAAAAAATACATATCAAGCTTATGTGTCATCTGCTCAGGATTCTGTATAGTACTCTCAGCAGTCCTTGAATGGCAGGTTGTCATTTCTTTCTTGCTTATATTATGTTGAAATAGTATACTTGTTTTATGGAAAAAAAAGTCACAGTTTTATGATTTAAGCTTTATTTTGTATGAACAGTCATGTCATTTTAATGCACGTTTTATATATATATATTGTATGCAGAGTTGGATTCATGCTTGCCAGCTCCCTGATACGTGGAGAGAACAGCCTTAGGTTTTGTGTCTAGTTAAGACTGTTTTAAAGAAGTTTTGTCAACTCCTTTTTTTCTTTCCTTGATTGTTTTTAAGGAAGATGTGTTCCACATTTCATTCTCACAAGGGCAACTCTCACAAGGCAATAGTAATGTTCACAGTAGTAGAGATTCTATGGTTAATGTTTTCAGGTTTTGGATTGTGCCTTAAATATATGTATGTAAGAAGATATTATGAAATTAAAGCCATCTTCTCTTTGCAGACTATGCTTTTTAGTGTTGATGCTGATTTATCTGTGAGTGATGACTGAGTGGGACACAGAAGTTTTCTGCTTGAATCCACAGAATTACTCAGATAGTTGTGTTGACGAGAGCCTGGGACTTGTGTGCTGTGGATGAGCAATTGTCTGTATGTGATATAGGTAACCGGTAGTTTATTGCTCAGTATTTTCATTTTGCGTGTTGTAATTTCTCTGACTCTTGTAACTCTGATTTTTTAGTTTCTGCTAGCATGGATGACATCTCTTCAACTTCTTGTTCCCGAAATAGAAACATGTAAAGAAAACAAAGTACAAGGAGGGGGAAGAGATTTGGAGCTATGTCAGTGAAAATGTACTTGAGGGTGTCATGGGCACAAATGTTGGAATTAATTCTGAGTGGCATTGTCACTAGAGCAAAAATGTGTAAAGATTACATAATAAGGTGGCTGTGTGTCCAAATGACACCTTCTGACTAGACCCAATTCTGACTAGGGCATGCAGATAGGACTCCTGTTTTGGTCAATGGCAGCAACGTGACTTATGTCCAAAGCCAGACAACTCCATACACTCATTTTTGTCAGACAGTCTAAGCATATCTTGAGAAGAAATTGCAGCTGAAAGAGTATCTTCATTGGGAAGTTAGCTGTGCTTTAGTCCCAGACCCCACCTGATCTCATTTTCTTACTGAGAATGCTGTATTTGAAATGCAGTTTTGATAAAGTGGGCTGCTGAAAGATTTAAAATATAAAGCTTTGAAATAGTGTCTAAAAGCAAGTACTTGTTTATTATAAAGCACAGACTCACAGAAGGCAAACTACAGTTGGGGATTGTTCATCCATGCTCAAGTTTATCAAAGTGCAACTCTTCATGACAAATACACTGTTACATTCAGCCGTTTCGTCTTTGCAGTGCTCAGCTGGTATCTGTACGGAGAAGAGTTGATGTTAATTATTTTTTGTTACAAAATCAGGATCAATCTTTGTGGGTAAACATTGTTTAAAACATGAATTGGCTACTTTGAAGTGAGGAATTGTCACTTTGATTTACCATTATCACAGAAGGAAGGTCCTATTTGCAATTCTTAAGCCATTGATGTGCTATAAATATGCCTTGGTTAATTTTAGGAATTTCATTTTAAATTTAACATTTTACTGGAATATTTTTAAGTAAATTACCATTGCAGTGGTGTAACTTAATTATTACCTATTAACTGCCCTTCACAGAAGACTAGAAATCTTAATGAATAACAAAATTAGTGAGGACATTTCAGTCATAGTGACCAGATCCATACAGCCAACTGAAAGAAGTAAAAATAAAACATAAACTCTCCTGCTGTCTACTTTGTGCCAGCCTTATATCACGTAAGTTCACTAATGTGAGTATGCATATGTGTATGTACCCATGTACAGCTGTCTTAAACAAATGAAAAACCCAGCACTGATGAAACTGGCTTCATAAACATGGCTGTGGGTAGCTGCTTATACTTTTCCACAAGAGGTTGTTTTTCCACCAGGAGTGTCTCTCATGGTGTAAAATGAGCTATTGATAATTGGGCTGAGAATGAAATGGTCAGAGCAGTGTAAGAAGCTGTGTAGAATAGGTGGCCTTAACAAAATTATTTCTGTTGTGGTTTAATTTAATTTAATCAAAAAATATTTATCCAGGAACATGTTTTATGTGGCTTTAAGCTATCAAAACAGTAGTACTTCCAATATCTTCTTTTGTGTTTTGTTGCCTTCTCTTATTTCATTTGCCATACATGAAACTAGAGAATCACTTTAAAGAATCATCTTAAAATGGAAAGAGATTTTGAGATTGCTTAGTCTGTCCTGCTGTTCTAAGGTATGATGCTTGTTTGACATTTCCGTTGCTGGGAAAACCACAGTCACAGAATCACAGAATGGTTTAGGTTGGAAGTGACCTTAAAGATCATCTCGTTACAACCCTCTGCCATGCGCAGGGACACCTTCCACTAGACCAGGTTGCTCAAAGCCCCATCCAAACTGGCCTTGAGGACTTCCAGTGATGGGGCAGCCACAGTTTCTCCCAGCAAACTGTTTCAGTGCCTCACCACCCTCACAGGGAAGAATTGCTGGGTTGGTATGCTGTCATCCTGTTGTAGAAGGCCACCAAATCTGTCAGCACGATTTGCTCTTAGTGAAGCCATGTTGGCTGTCACCAATCACCTTACTGTCCATATGCATTAGCATAGTATCCAGGAGGATCTGCTCTGTGATCTTGCCAGGCACTGAGGTAAAATTGACATCTGTAGTTCCCTGGGTCTTCCTTTTGTCGCTGTTTAAAAATGGGGGTTATATTTCCCTTTTTCCAGAGAGCAGGAACTTCTCCAGACTGCCATGACTTCTCACATATGATGGATGGTGTCTTAGCCACTTCATCTGCCAGTTCTCTCAGGACCAGTGGATGTATCTCTTCAGGTCCCATGGACTCGTGCACCTTCAGGTTCCTTAGATGTTCTCATACCTGATCATCTCCTACAGTGGGCAGCTCTTCTCCCAGTCCCTGCCTTTGCTTTCTGTGACTTGGGCAATCTGGCTGGAGCTCTTGCTGGTAAAGATGGAGGCAAAAAAGTTGTTGAGTACCTCAACCTTTTCCATGTCCCAGCTGACCAGATCTCCCATAACCTTTCAGAGAGGAACCGGATTTACTGTAGTCATATCAGTGGTTCACTTTCTTTGTAAGAAAGCTTTGCAGTGTGTTTTGCTTGAATCTTTCTTGCTGCATTATTTCTTGTTTTACTCCCTTTTGCATTGGGGAAGAAAACACACCATTCATCTTTGTGGCAGCCTTACTTGTTCTGGTGGGTTACTTCAGTACTTTTTAATCTAAACATTCCCAATTTAACAACCTTTCTGTGTAGCTTATGTATCCAGCTCCTTGGCTGGGTGTTTTGTTTGGCGGGATTTTTTTTTTCACCTTCCCCTTTCCCCCCTACCTTTAGCAGTTGTTGAAACCTGGTGTTCAAAACTAGACCCAGTATTTCAGCTGGGGCCTTAGCTGCGCTGAGTTCAATGAGGGAATTACTTCACGTCTTGGAAGAATAAAAGATGATGTATTTGGCTGTAACATATACAACACTGTTTTCAACTTCGTTTAAATCCCACTAGATACTTACCATCCAAAATGTCTATAAGTGGGGTTCCTGGAGCAATGGGGATGTTTGATGTTGTCTCATTGATGATGTTGAGGAGCGATTTGACTTCTGATTCTAGATGCTCCACTGTTTTTATTACTTTCTAATGAAAACAAGGGAGACATGGGGGAAGGAGATAGTCAAAAGGTCAAGTGGAAGGAGATGAACCACATTTCTTAGCAAAAGTGCAAATCTAAAGTTAACAGCTAATTTTATTTATATTGTTATATAAATATTTCTTGTCTTATGACAAGATCTTATATATAAATATATGTATTTATATTTATAAATATTTATATATTTATAATATTTATAGCTATAAAGATATAAATATTTCTTGTCTTATGCTGCCCTCTAGTGGCATGAAGTATTAAAACTTTGTTTCACAAGAGTTAAATTGCAGCCCCTCTGTATAAAGAATCACCCATAATTTCACTTCCTGGGGGGAGCCTTGCATTAACCGGCTTTTTGGAGAGTTGTAAACTGACATCTGAAAAAACAGTCAGACCTGGAATAGAATAAAATCAAGAAGGGACAGTGCCTAGAAGCAGCATTCCTTCTTTGGTCAAAAGGATGGGGCAGAGCTCTGGTAAGGTCAAGGAGCTAGTGCAATAGCTCGTACCTCTTCAATAATATCTAAGCGTTTGTGGATTGCATCATGTTCGTTACACCAGCTTCCTCCTCCCAGACTTCCAGGTAACACACTGACAGGGTCTGTAGCAGCTGGAAAAATAGCCACATTTAATGAGCAGGAGGTTCTTAATAGCAGTCCTTACCTTTCTGACTTCTGAAGTGGTATTTTGATTGCTAAACAACGTTGTTTATGAAACCAAATGTAAGAGTCCCAGGTAGTAACTGAATCTCCCAATAACTACACGTATACCCTTGTGCTGTGAGTGTTTCCTTGCCTGTACACATTGTCAGGATTGGTTGGAACAAGGTGTTTTCTCTTGCAGGGGTATTTTTTTTTTGTTTGTGTATGTGTTTGTTTCACACAATCTGGTTTTTCCTACCTGTGTAGTGTAAGTTTATAGACTGTAACTCAGTCTCTTACAAGTATACAATCTAAGTGCTGAGAAGATCTGCCTTACTCATCAGCTTCTTTGAGACTTTCTTCAGAAGCAGCTGGTACTATAAAGCTTTGAAGAGTAAATAAGTTCATCCACTTACACTCCAAATGGATAATAGCTGTCTATTCTGCAGTTTCAGAAACTTGTTCATAACAGTCCGATTTTGCAGTGAGAAGGGAAACAATAAAAATGTGTACAGCTCGTGCCATTTACTGACCGAGTCACCCATATATGCTGCTACATATGAAGGCACTTATCTCTGTCAATTACCTATTTACCTCTCAGTACTCACAAACTCTTGTTCTTTGAATGTTTCATTCTGCAGGTTCTACTCCATGAAAGGTTAGTACCTACTGGTGTCAGTGCTTTAATGTAGCCAATTTCCTTTCATAGCTTTTGTGTATCAGTCAGTAACATTTAGTTTTTAATATGTGTACACAGAACTGTAATGGCATATTTTAAAACCCACTAAAGTGATAGCATATCTTGCTCCATATAAAGTTAGGTCTTCTTCTTGTTTGATTCCTGAGGAACCTATGATAATGGGAAAGCAGCAGTAACTCATTAAGTTGTTTGGTTGTAACAGAGGCAGAGGAACCCCTGAGCTTGTGTTACAAAGAACACTAAAGAAACATAAAATCAACTAATTCTGTCTTCATTACTGTTGTGTGAGAGCAGTGATTTGGAACTGCTGCTGTGTTTCGTCGCAGGTCTCTTCCAAGATTTCTGGAGTGCAGGTATCCGATGATGGAGAACACAGCAGTAAGGATTATAGCCATTGCAGTTTGATGGGGTGAGAGATGTACTCGGAGTTGGAATGGTATCCTTGAATATCCAGTATCCTTGAAATTGGAAGCCAGAGGGGGGGAAGGGGAGAGGATTAAAATACGATCCGATGTACTAGGCATTATTTAGAAATTGTTTTGGCAGAGCTGAAGAGAGAATGTTTAATTATTCATTTGTTGGATTTTGATCCTGGAGCTTTTTGGTACTTTCACCAGGAGGTGGTGCTGTTAGGATAGGATCCTAAGGACTTACATCTACCTGTTCGAGGCAGACTGATGAAATACAGCAGGTACTTAAAACTGCTTTGCAGTTGGCCCCCTCCTGCCTCCTCCCTGTCGGTGTTTCAGGAGTGTTCTTACCTTGTAACTTAGTGCTCAAGTGAACCATGCTACTTTGCAAAATTATTTCTTGTTTACATGTTTTTTTTTCCATCATGACTGGAACAACACGGAGATACTGAAATTCTGTGTTAGAAATGGAGGTTACAAAGCAGTGGCCACTTTTTGACTACAAACTTTGTCTTTCCTAAGAATGGGAAGGCAAGTTCCATTTTACTGTCAGAGATTAATAAATAACCACCTTTCCAGTATTTCCAGCTCTATCTCTCAGCATCAACCTTGATGGCCTGACTCAGCTGTATGCTGAACTGCCATCCACAGTGTTGGAGAGAGAACAAGGGCAAGCAGAAGGCATGGTGATGATGTAACTGTGGATTGGTTGTTGACTGATAGGAATATTCCCAGATCTAAGTGAACTGTGAAAAGAGGCAGCATAAATCATTATGTGGACTAAGGGCAAATCAGAAAATTGACGAATCCCCCAGGAGGCTGTTTTTGACTATATTAACCTCATTATAGATGCCTGCATCACAAGGTTGGGTAGACACTTTGGGAGAAGGCCATCATCAGTTGTATGTGGTTGTTAAAGGAGCTTTAGGCCAGCGTAAGTTACATGTTTAGTTTGTCTGTTCCCTAGAAATGGGAGTGCAAGAGGGTTAATGCTGGCTAGCTAAAGTTAATGTTGGCTGCTTCTCTGGTCATGCATCTTCTATTATACTGATCCATAAAGAAAGGCCAGAGCTCTGGTGCTGCAGGAGAAGCAGAAGTCTGTCGTGCCCTAATCAGACTCTGACCCATGCTGGCCTTTCCAAACTGCCTAAATGGCATGGCGGGCTTGTGTGTTGGCATTGCGCAGGGGCTCCTTTCACCTCTCCTGTACAGGACCTTAAATCTGCAGAGTGACTTTTTGAAGCAGAAACTATGTACGGTCTTAACCCAAACTGCCACTTTAATCAGTCCTTTAGCTTAGCCCTTCTATGTGAAAGAGGACTTCATTCAGCACAAACCTCTGCATTCGCCTGACTGCTACTTTAGGCAGGTGTATGTAGATGGGGAGGTTAGAGATGATGGATGACTGTCATTTTTTCAAAGCCGGGTGTGCCATGATAGGTATGTACAGCCAAGGTGAGGTTGTTGCATCTCACTGTGAGGTTGGCAAAGCACTAACATGCGGGCACATGCACGTCTAGAGAACTAGGTGTGAAGGTGGTGTTGTGAAATGCAGGACTTGGTAGTACTTGGTTCCTTGGGGTGGTTTGTTCCTTGGGATGGGGTTGTCTCTTCTAACATGGAGACAGACAGCTTTCTGACACTCGGTGCACTGCTGTGTTATAAACTATAATAGGCTTACCAGAGGAGGAGGATGTGTCTCACCCAAGTTTGATAGGACTATAAGATGTTACTCAGAACCACAGGACTCGCACAGTGCCTAAAGAATTTGAGAAGCAGTCTGAGCGTAAGTGCCTCAGGAAGTACCTGATAGCTGTTGTTAACAAGTGGTAAAGAGTTAGCAGAAACCAAAGAATGTCTCATGCCCAGACCTCACAGTGTGGAGGTGGCTCGGGGATGACGAAGCAGAAACCCTCTCAGCTACAGCCTGTGTGTCTGTGTCTTTAGTTAGTGATTTTCACACCAAAGCAGAGGTGGTCTTGCACTTGCCCCTTCACCACCATGCCGGAAAAGCAGAGTACCAGACGTGGGTGGTTGCTGCTGCTGTCTGGCAGCCAGTGCTTGTTCAGTGTAGTTTCCTTCTGTTTTCTGAGACCTGGCTTGACGCTTTGGCTGCTAAAATCCCTGATTGTTATTTTGTTGTCTGGCTTTATCTCTTAACCACAGCCTTTATCTCTAGGATGGGCTGCTCACAGTACACATCTGGTCCCTTGTAAATAAGGCATGTATCTGGGTCACTATGGTCAAACAATTCAGCTGAAGCAATAATTTCCATATGCTCAAAGAGAATCACATGTTGCTTACGAGTGCTGCCCTTCTCTGTATTGCAGTTGGTGAAAGAAAATGACACGGTCTGCCTTTGGCACTGACCTTCTCCAGCAGCATCTCTACCTCACATGATAATAGCAGTCACCTTGTAAAGGAAGTGAAGAGTGGAAGGCTGCAGTAGAAGCCATGTAAGCAAAACACCTTTTAGGATACTTCAGTGTACTTGCTCTCTTGCTGCCGAGGAAGCATTTTAAAAATGTAAATTACAGTTTTTACTTGCCTGTGTTGTCAAAGCATATGCATAAATGCAGAAAACTTTCACAGCAAATTCTAAAGCTAAGAGCTTTTAACAGTAACCTGTTCTTTGTATACTGTATAAATTACATATTTAAAATGTGTGGGTACTTGCAATTTCTGATAGCTTAAGCAAGTGTGTAGGAGGCATATTTCAATGTCTTAAATATTTCATTTCAAACAAACGATTACTTCAGGCAGGTATTTATTGTAACATTTCAATATGGCAGAGACACGTTACCTTTCAAGAAAGAACATTATCTTTCAGTTAATTTCCCATTTGCAAAATCCCACCTCATGTTTCCTGCAAGTAAGGCATTCAATTATTGAAGTGCATTCTATTTGATATATCGGTAGTTATTTTCTATCAAGAATGAGAGCTCTCTTGCTCAAGATAAGAAAACAACCTGCACCTTTTTTCCTCTGATTAAGTCTCTTATGCTATGTTGATAGTGCCCATGAGGGTGGGTAGTTCTAACTAACCAATGCTGTCATACAGTCAGACACCAGTAGGTGGAGCAGGAAAATGGAGAATCTCTGAGTTGGTTGCTAATAAGGGTATGTTTAATAAAAGAGTATGCTTGATGTTTGAAAGAAGTAGCATAATGAAGAGTAAAGATGTATGTATCATGGTCAGCCTGACTGTACAGAACTTGATCTTATAGCAGGGGATAGAAAGAGCAATGAAGTAATAACTGAAACAATCTTAGCAAACAGGTTAAGAGCAAAGGCCTTGGTTTTAGAGTAACTCTTGGTGAAGCTCCTCTGCCTCCTGTATATAGATTCCCCCAGCGCCACAAGATGTTGCTTCTGCACACTCCCTGAAGAAGTCCTCATCTAGGATCATCAGGATTCTGTCTATCCAGATGCTGTTAAATGGTTCATTTTGATCACCCAAGTAGTTGCTCATTTTAAGCATCAGAATAAACCTGAGTAACTGTTTCTTCACTGTCATTTGCTGCTGTTACTAAGACTGACAGAGCTGAAGTACACAGACACACACATCTGAAAGGGCTTTGCAAGTATCCTTCCTAAAGATGCATTGCTGGTCAAACTGAAGTTACAGGCTTGAAAAAGAAATTACTGGGTTGGGTTCTTTGGTCTGTGTTATGGAGAAGGTCAGGCTGAGTCCTTAAAGTCCATAAAATTCCTTTTGCACCATTCTGTGAACCGTGCGGTTTTGAAAGTTTAACTGAAAGTTCATGTTTGCTCAGTAGGGAGGGGAGGGGTAAAACTAAGCAGGCCACAAGCCTAATGAAAGGCAGTGAGATTGAAACAAGAACCAGATGGCAAATAA